TTTCTTTTATAATTTTCCAAAAGATGCCTTGATTTTTCTTCAAAATATGTCTAGATTCGATGTATTTCCCCAAGAGATGTATCCTTTCATGATAATTTTCGTCCATGGTGGTTATAACTACCTATTAAGTCAATGGGTGCCTCAATACCTCTTCAAAATTCGCAGAAACTGAATTTACTCGTCCAATAACTGTCACTGGCGCTTAGGCGCGGCCTTTTTTGTTTAACCGGCGCTTAAGCGCCGGATTTGGAGCTTAGGCGTCAAAACTCTTTTGCACATTTTTCACATTTTTGCTCCAAATTTGATTCTTTTTTACTCTTTTAAGCATTTTTCACTATTCTTCATGTATCTGCAAGAAAAACACAAAAATACCTTCCATTAAAGCGCAATATCTCAAAAATAGGTATAAAAATGTGTCTAAAAATACTATATATTTTAGATTTTCAAAATTCTCCAAATTTAAAATGTTACTTGTCTTCAAGTGACACTTCAATCTTTAAAAATTAAATATGTATGATATGTATATGAGTTTCTTTAGGTGTTATTAAAATTTTAATTTAAAAATATAGCAGTCTAATTTAGAAAAAAAATATTCAGTAAATGAGACCAACTTAAAGTTTATAAATTCTTAAAGTTAAGAAAGATGAAAATATGAATTTCTATCTAATTCAGAAATGTATTGTAGATTTTTCAAATTTAGAATTTTAGTTTTTTTATTATCTCTACTTAAAATTTTTTATTAAAAATATTCTTCATGTATCTGCAAGAAAAACACAAAAATACCTTCCATTAAAGCGCAATATCTCAAAAATAGGTATAAAAATGTGTCTAAAAATACTATATATTTTAGATTTTCAAAATTCTCCAAATTTAAAATGTTACTTGTCTTCAAGTGACACTTCAATCTTTAAAAATTAAATATGTATGATATGTATATGAGTTTCTTTAGGTGTTATTAAAATTTTAATTTAAAAATATAGCAGTCTAATTTAGAAAAAAAATATTCAGTAAATGAGACCAACTTAAAGTTTATAAATTCTTAAAGTTAAGAAAGATGAAAATATGAATTTCTATCTAATTCAGAAATGTATTGTAGATTTTTCAAATTTAGAATTTTAGTTTTTTTATTATCTCTACTTAAAATTTTTTATTAAAAATAAGTTTACTTACTATATTATATCTATAAGCTTAAGAGTTTCTCAAGTTTTATA